GAAAGTCTTACTTACATCTAGACATATTCCAATAGTATTTTTATCGTTATCAATCGCTATAGTTGTTCTAATCAATTAGTTGCATAAGTGCCATTGAAGTAGAGTTTTAAAGCCGTACTAATGTTTGTAGAGAATGTCGTTTTGGTCTAGATGTTTTTAAAGTCATTTGTATATCAGTTTTTATTCAGAACTTTTGAGATGCAGGGCAAAATTTAGATTGGGTGGTAATTACTAACTAAGGTAGGATTGTTGGTTATTAATATAGGAATCACTTTTGCAATTTTAGTTGGTTTAGGAAACATTCCGTTCTGGATGGATAAAGTCAGTATATGAGTAAGAGGGGGGATGATATAAGGTAGGGAGATATTTAGTACTAATTCGTCGTGACCACACTACCAAAAATGCCAATCTTGTTTTTCTTCAGAGAAGAAAACTTTTCTTCCACTGAGAAAATTATTCTTCACCCAAGAAAAAAATCTTGTCCATGAGACAAGAATTTCAAGAAACTGCATTTTAGCATATTTTTCTTGTGGTAAGATTTCTTTTCTTATGTATCTTGGACTAAATATCCTTAGAATATTATTCTTGCAGTAAGTTTTCTAGAAAACCATTCTGTACACAAGAAAAGATTTCTGGAACTAAGATCTAACTCTTCTTGTAGCAAGAAAAATATTCTCCCCACAAGAAAAGATTTCTTGAACTAATAGCTAACTGTTCTTGTAGTAAGAAAACCATTCTGCCCACAAGAAGAGATTTCTTGAACTACGATCTAACTCTTCTTATGGCAAGAAAACCATTCTGTACACAAGAAAAGATTTCTTGAACTAAGAATCTAACTGTTCTTGTAGCAAGAAAACCATTCTCCCCACAAGAAAAGGTTAAATCTTCAACTATTATCTAACTCTTCTTGTGGCAAGAAAACCATTCTCCACGCAAGGAAAGATTTCTTGAACTAAGATCTAACTGTTCTTGTAGTAAGAAAACCATTCTCCCCACAAGAGAAGACTTCTTGAACTAACATCTAACTGTTCTTGTGGCAAGAAAAACATTCTGTACACAAGAAAAGATTTCTTGAACTATTAGCTAACTGTGCTTGTAGCAAGAAAACCATTCTGCCCACAAGAAGAGATTTCTTAAACTAAGAGCTACATTTTTGTAACTGTTCTTGTAGCAAGAAAACCATTCTGTACACAAGAAAAGATGTCTTGAAATAAGAGCTGACTCTGTTCTTGTAGCAAGAAAACCATTCTGCCCACAAGAAAAGAAATACAATGTATATAGTGCTACCTAAATATAAAACAGACAATAAATTTGAATAATGTATAACAACTAAATGTTATTTTGAAAAGCATTTGGACAGTATAGAGATGTTTATTATCACATTGATTTTTGTACAATGTATCTAATTAAAAATATAAAATCAGTCCATCAACATTCTTGGAATGGAAACAGTTTAACATTAACTTTCAAAATATTATACGATGTAACTAACAAGCCATTATGATTTCAGAATACAGATCGTATCACATTCATATCAGAAGCATATTCAGCAAAAAACTGCAGTTTTCGCATTATAGAATTGGCAAAGTCACACCCTTTGGACACCTGAAAAACAACAGGAAAGACCTGTGTTAGTTTGCATGCGTGTACTGAAGGCAACAAGTCAAAAGAGGATGCTAAAATACTATTTTATTACTTGGAGTAAACAATTTAAAATTATATCATAAAGCACTGTAATAAACTTTACTATACAATGCACCAGAGATATATGATTTGACTTTGAAATCAACCCCAATGGCGTTGTAACAATATTTGGACTATGAATTCTAAAAACAATGTCAACAGATCTTATAGGTGGGGAGGGGGCGCACTTACCTTCAATCTGTTTGGTTTCATGCTTTTTTCTGTTGCAAAGTTGGTTTCTTCAGCAAGCTTACCACGATCACCATTGCTGCACATGTACACAAGGTCCTTTTTGATTTGATTTTGACTTCAAATCTGACATGAGTCAGTAACTGACAAAAATAAGTAGCAGTAGACTTATGTTCAAAACCCCTAACTGCATTCTGGGATTTGAATCAACCAATCAGGGGTTTAGAAAAGGTCACAAAAAAAAACAAGAATGGCCTTTTTCAATCGTTCTAGGTAACATGAACAAGAACGTTTTTGACATACACAAGAAAAAAAAAACTTAAATCTGACCACATTGATGTCAGGTAAGAAAGAAATCTTCCGTGGAGATTAAATAAGGAAATTTAACTAAGTCTGAGGGAATTTTAAGATTAAAAGAATTTTAATCTTGTAACTTAGAATCTTCCCTAGAAATATTGTCTTTACTAAAGAAATTTCAAGATTCAAAGAATTCTAATCTTGTAAGTTAGAATCTCCTCAAGAAATATTTCTTCACCGAAGAAAAATCAAGATTTAAAGAAGCCTATTTTAGAAAAAATTATCTCCACTCAAGAAAAATGAGAAAATTGTTCTTGGTGCAAGAATGTAGGTAATACAGCAAATTATTTTTTCTTATTATTCTCCCCCAAAGAAAAATTTTCTTCCCATGAGAAAATAAGAAAAACAAGAAAAAGCATTTTTGGTAGTGCAGCAGCGGAATCGTTCAGATTTCTAACTATGTATGAAACTTACTATCGTTGTGCAGAAAATGAGCAAAACAAGTCTTACAGAAATTTGCCCCTAATGTCTTCAAATGCCGATTGCAAATATATCTTAATTATAACGGTATATTTGCAAACATAATGAGTGCATTGTAAACTAAATTTTCAATAGGAGATTTAGCTAAAAATGGCAGATGGACAGTTTATTGCAAATAAGCAAATTGCCTATTTATATTTCATGGGTATGAGTGAAATATAATGTTTTAAATTTCTCCTCCTGCCATTTCGCCATTATCTTCATTACGTCGAATTACCTGGAATTTGTCATGACGGTAGAGTGAAAAAAAAAGCTCAGGAGTATTTTTTTTGTTATACAGGCTCTTAAAGTGGTTTCATTTTGGTATTTACCATGTATATAATTCATGATCATATTTGACACATATGACCTACTGTATAGGCTGGCGAAGTTTCGGACTGCTAAAAATGTAATCAGACTTTGAATAATCAAACAGAAACAGGCTTGTATGCAAGTTTAATTTCCAAATAGATACATGATGACATATATCTTTAAAGAGATAGAAAACATCACAGGGGTTTTTCAGAATATCTTTTACTGAAAAGCACTTTGTTGTTTTCTAGAATACCTTTACTATAATGTAATATATTGGGGTTGGGTGACAACACTTTTGCAAAAAAGATGGGTCTTGCAATTGGGGCAATACATGAGAATTTGAGACCATTTGTTTTATACAAGAATTGGTGGTTTTAGAACACTTTATTGACCATGGGGTTTCAAAAAACATTTGTTACGAACGTAGGGTATACAAAATGTTGAATGAAGAATCGGTAAAATCTGCTGTATTTGCTCCCGAGCGAATGTTGATATTTCGTGTCATATTGCGTGTAAGTAAGTTCATAGGTTGGGACGTGTATTGACCCTATCTAGAACGGGGGGGGGTGGCTAAAAGTGCCCGCGCCAACTTTGATGTCATCTAGCGTCTGAACGGATAAGGCTAGAACCGCCAAACTTAGTGACTTTTCCTAGAATATTGTTGGCAACAAATCTGTATCAGTGGAATAAGATTATGATTTATCTTGTTGCCATGGCAACGGGTTTCTGACAGGCATTTTTGCTAAATTCATTAATTTCCGTTTCAACAACAGAATTTTATGGGTTTTATGTTACACATGGTTTCTAATAGTAATAACATCTCATAGAATTATATGTAAATTCTATCATTAAAAATGCATAATTTATGCTAATTTAATGACGTCATTGGCCAAAATCCAAGATGGCGGACCATATCATTAGATCAGGTAAATACAGCTTATTTTCCTTAAAATTTCATCAATACTCCCATTTCTTTTTACAAAAAAGGTTCATATGAACGTCTTTAGTCAGTTTACAATGTATTTTAGGCTTTATTCTGAAAAAAAATATTTTTCAAAATTCAAGATTTATGATCCAAGATGGCGGATAGGTAATATATACAAGACGTCATTTTATGACGTCACCGGTGTTTCTATGGGCAACATAAGACTTAGTTCACCCTAATATTCTGTCATGAACACTTTTGGTAAAGTTATCTCGTTTTCCGTTTAGTATTTAGGGAATAACCTATCTAGACGGTTTTGGCCAATGAAATCACATTAATGACGTCATAATGACGTCATATTACGTCACAACGACATAAAAATTGTACGTATGATTTGATGAAAAAACACCATAAATTGTATGAAAAAACACCATAATGTACACCATCCTCTGAAAATTTGGTGGTCCTACAACCGTTCGCGAGTTCTGAGGGGCGGCCGAATGAGCCCCCCCCCCCGGTCCCACCAAGCCCAAAAAAGCCCGGTCTAGATAGGGTTAATCCCTACGTCAGTCAGTGAGTACAAGTCAAAAGTTATCAAATATCGCCATGACAATACGCATGAAATCTTTAAAAAATAACACAAAAGAATAAGAGCTGAATATGAGTTATATTGTGTAAAATCATGTGTGTGTATATTTGATGTAATTTATACAGTTTTTATTTCATTGCAGACTCCTTTATCTCAAGTTCTAAGAAATCTCGTCGTTATAGATAGATACAAAGTCTTATATTGCCGGGCTGGCAAGACTGGCAGCTGGACAACTCTTCAACTTCTATATAATTTAGAATTAAACACTAATATTAGTCGCCATGAGGTGAGGAAGCTGGCCTTAGAAAAGCCATTGCCAGTTCTTTCAGATTTTTCTGAGAAGGATATCCAACTACGTCTTGCTACTTACAAAAAGTTTCTTGTGGCTCGGAATCCACTTGAAAGGTAAGCAAAACTTTTTTTTAATATGCAACTGGTATATATTAACATTACAGTTACTTCGAGTAACAGGCCTGGTGCTTATACACAGTATCTTATTCGTTTATATATGGTTATGATCCGTACTGTTTTCTTTAGAATGGCGTCCGTGTGGAGCGGTTTTTTCGCAACTTACCCTTGGTTCGGATGGAACGAGAAATATCAAAGTATGATGGAAACAATTTGCCCGAATACAACTGCAAAAAAGGTGCGACTAAAATATTTGTTTTTCACTTATCAAAAATACCAGACATTAATCTTTAAACGTAAATCTAAAATACCCAAAGTCTGGTATGCATATGATATAATTGCTCATATGAGGCTATTTATTGTTCAATCAAAAGATAGGAGAGGAGCCGCGGCTGTTTATGAATATATTCTAGGAATTGCCAAATGTATTTTCTTGTTCTTAAAGTACTTCCCATTAGGAATGCAATCCTAAAAGAATAAATGTATATAGCTGTTGATAAGCAAGGCGGTAAATTGCCCTACATGTTAACTATTCTGACCACTTCTAATTAAGCCTACTCCCTTCTAACCACATCAACGTTTTTAGTTACAAGCGAAACCCCATTCTATACCTCAATTCAAATTTGGAAGTAATATGAGAAATATCTTAAAGAAATTATATACCAAAACCTAAAAGCAGCCACATCTATACTTTAAATTCCACTTAATGTATAAAATGCTGTCTTTTACAGGTGGTTTGTGATAGAGTAACAGAAATCAAAGGGATTGGAAACCAGACTCATCAACTTGTACCGTTTAGAGCCTTTGCAAAGGCCGTAGCCGCCGCTGGGAATATAACAAAGTTCTCCAATCCACATTGGACCCCCATTAACAAAATATGTAGTCCTTGTCTGGTAAGGAACTTGATGAAATGTACCAACGATATTTTCTGATTAAAATGCTTCTACATTCAATTAATACTGTGTAATTTTGCTGCTTTCCTCGTTTTTCAGTAAGCTCGTCTTCTCAGAACTAGAACCACCACGGAATGATCTAATTTGACCTAATTACATGTGTATGCTTAATTTCAGAAGCTTAAAAAATGTTCTATTTAGCCGGTTCGCTACTTAGACCAAGTCGTTTTAGATTGTAGTAACCTACTACAAACCTACACCAGGCTTTTAATTAAGGGCCTCTTTTTGTTTCTTTCAGCTACAGTACGACTTCGTTGCCCACACTGAGAGTTTGGCTGAAGACCTGAGGACTTTTTTTCAGATAGTTGGGGTTGCTGAAAAAAACAACATATTTCCTCAAAAGCGCACGAGAATCGGGGACAAAATGCTTTTGGAAGTATTTAAGAAAGTACCAATTGAAGATATTTACCGAATTGGCGAAAGATACAAAGACGAATATGCTTTTTTTGGTTACTCTTTCGAGGACGATTTGCAAAAGCTTATCCATGTAGGTTAATGAAATGACCAGTTAATGAAGCAACTCGTTTAACCACTTGTACGCACTTTATACCTTCTTAAAGTGCCAAGATCTAACACCAAGCTTCACATGTGTTCATATGTTCAAAGGCCTAACGGATATATATGGATTGGACCAATGGATACGCAGCTACCTTGGAAATAGGAAACAAACTGTCTTTGGCAGCTTTTCATTTCACAGAAAATTCAAGAAACCAAGTGCAGTGCACCGCAGGAGAGCTACCTTGGACAATTATTATTTTCCAAATTTGTGAACAATCTTCCCACCATAACAAAGTAAAGTACAGACGTTACCTTTTGATTTTTTGATTTGATTTTATTGTTTGCACATTAACAAGACGGACAATAATAATATAAAAACAATGATAAAACAGGTGCAGGAGAGGGGAGAAGCATGGCGTGCTTATACTAGGCCCTCCTCCTCTAAACTATACAAAATTAAATATAATTAATAAATGGAAATAATACAATAGAAAATGGAAATAATACAATAAGGATAATGAAATAATGTATGGTATAAGTTAATGACAATGAAAATAAGGTAATGATAATAATTGGTATGAGTTATAATAGGAGAAAACACTAAATAAAACTACTACAGGGGGCTAGGTTCGTTAATCAGATGGTTTTTCAAAGCTTGTTTAAGTGAGAGAAGAGACAAGGTAGGATTCTTTAGGGCTGGAGTTAGTTCATTCCATAAGGTGACACCTTTGTATCTAACCGACATTTGGGCAAGAGAAGTTTTTACTAGGGGGATATGAAAATCGGAACGTTTGCGAGTTTGATAGTTGTGAATCTGAGAACGAAAATTAAAAAAGTCATCAAATGTGTGAGGGAGTTTATGGTTTATATATTGGGCTACAAAAAGTACAAGTTGAAATCTGTTTATGTCGTAAATGTTCAAAAGTCTAAGTTTTTTTAAATAGAGGCGAAGAGTGGGTGTAAAAACTAGAACCAGTGGCAATGGGTAGAAATTTTTTTTTGTAGAATTGATATAGGATGCAGAGAGGTTTTGTAGGCATTTCCCCAGACAATATTACAATATGCAAGATGTGGATAGATTAAACTGTTATAGATGGTTATAAAGGTTTTTTTGGATAAAAGATGTCTAATTTTCCCTATGATCCCGATTGTTTTTGAAATTTTATTAACAACTATAGCGATGTGGGGCTTCCAGGTTAAGCGGTCGTCTATTTGTATTCCCAAAAACTTAGCCTGAGATTCTTTGGAGAGAATGTGTTTTTTTAAGTAGATGGTGCGATTTTTTCTCTTATTTGCCCTATTTTTGCTACAAAAGATAAGATAATAGTTCTTTTTGATATTAACTGATAGTTTGTTTGCTTCGAACCATGTAATAACTTTTTCTAATTCTTGATTGGCTAGTTGGATTAGAGGATCAAAATCTACATGTGAAAGAAAGAGATTAGTATCATCGGCAAAAAGTATGAAGAACAAAATTTTGGATGCTTCAGCGAGGTCGTTTACATATAATAAAAACAAGAGGGGCCCTAAAATCGATCCCTGGGGGACTCCGCAATTTATAGGTTTGCAGGACGAAGAATTATCGTTAAGGACAACGTATTGTTTTCTATCGGATAAATAACTAGTAAACCACTTAAGTGTAACCTCTCTGATGCCATATTTGTTAAGTTTTTTTTTAAAGAATCGAATGATTAACAGTGTCAAGAGCCTTACTTATGTCTAAAAATATTCCAATAGTATATTCATTGTTATCAATAGCTGAATTTATTAGTTGTATAAGTGCCATCGAGGTAGAGTATCCCTTTCTAAAGCCGTACTGATGTTTGTACAGAATATCGTTCTGGTCTAGATGTTTTAAAAGTCGATTCTATATTAGTTTTTCCAAAATTTTTGAGATGCAGGGCAGGATTAAGATTGGGCGGTAATTACTAACTGAGGTAGAATCATTGCTTTTAAATATAGGAATCACTTTTGCAATTTTATTTGGTTTAGGAACCACTCCGTTCTGGATAGATAAAGTAAGTATATGAGTAAGAGGGCGTATAATATAAGGTAGGGAAATTTTAGTATTTTAGTACTAATTCCGTCGTGACCAGCAGCGGAATCTTTCAAATTTCTAACTATGTTTAAAACTTCGGCCGTTGTAGGTGATCCAAAAGACGTTAGTTGGCTAATTTGGCTAATTTGGAGTATTAATGTAATCAAGGGGATCTTTCGTCACCATGGGGATTTTGCTTTCCAGGGTAGGACCGACATTTACAAAAAAGTCATTAAATTCTTCGCACATCTTACTTTTTTCAGTAATTACTTGAGTA